CTTACCAAATTAATTATGTCTGTAAAATCAATTAATCAAAAACACATGTTAAGTTTAACATGAAGATTCATGCATAGGGGCATATAGCATTTATTCGATTTGGAAATTCTGCGGATTCGAGCGGAGCTCATCCTTGAAGCGAAGGAAGATTGACGAAACTTAACGTGACATTTATAAATAAGCTTTTTGTGTAACCTTATAGTTTAGTATAGTTATAGGTTACTTTAATTAGACTTTTATATTGTTATACTATAGTATATAGTCAATTTGAGTCTAATCCAATGTATATAAATAGCGATATTCTTGTAAATAATAATTAGTATTCTTGAAAGTACTTCTTTGTTTAGTGGAAATAGAGGATATTTTAGTGGATTCTTGTGTACTGGGTACACTTGTTAGGAAGATACTTACCTGTATCGCTTATATTTTTTAGTACTTTAGTGTCTTGTGCGTAATAATAAATAATTGGTTTCCAAATTTTAATGCTTACGACCATAGTTAAATTGGCAGTGATATAAGAAAGTTTCTCCCTTGTCGTAACAGCATCACCACCCTAAAAAAAAATTTACTACAGAAAGATCCTCAAAATTCCGAGTCGGAATGCATAGGAATTCTAGTTGGCTGGGCCGGAATTGATTAATTTTTACTGACAAAGTCATAACACATTTATTAAGTAAAATTTCCAGCTAATAATTTGCTATAGACTATGTTGGCTAATATTGCTTAATGTCGGCCCAACTCCCTGTAACAAAATAGCAAAGACCTAATTTATCACGTGATCCAAATCGTCACTTAAGTTCTAATGTTAATTAACACTAAGTAAAATCCGGTCAACTAGTAACTTTGCGTAATTTTACATAATGTTGGCCAAAACTTTTATGAAAAAATTACGGTTCCCGAACATAATGATGGATATATAGTAATGCTGGTAAAAATTTTGATAAATTGAAGTGGACACTGAACATCGGGTAATCGAAAATTAGTTCAATACATACGAGCGTACGTATCTACAGGCTGTACTCATCCCGAAATAGTGCTGTCACGAGCTTTATTATTTAATCCATAATAATGCTACGTCCGAACCCTTAATTCCTATATAGTTATAAACGGATGTAGATAGACAAGGATAATTATCGTTGTTGTAAGTTTATTTATCACCTCCTTTATAACAAATGTTTAATGCCGTGCAGCTTTGCGTGTACTTGATTGAAATTAAGTAGGCTTTTTCATCAAGAGAGCATTAAAAAAAAAAAAGACATAAGTAGATAGTTTTTAACAATTACTTTAAGATATTTCTATTATTTAATTGATGCATCTCAAAAATGGTTATTTCATTAGAAGCTTGCTTAATTAAACTTTTACAATTTTGTCAAAAAACCAATTGTCCGCAAAATGTGTAATATACTGAATGTATGAATTGAATATTAAAATATAAATCGAATAATAATTTATAATTGTAATTATTCAATTGAAATCAAAATACATATTTGACAGGGAGAATTCAATCTTCAATAGAAATTCGTTTGCGTTGAGATTCATTTAAAAAACCATCGTCTGTTTGTTCACGTGGTTTATAAACTATAATTGTCAAAATTATTATTGTCAAAATTATTGTAAAGATTTGATAGAACATATTATGAATATTGTAAAATATTTTATTGTTAAACATACTGATATCTTTTAGTCCCATGTCGAAATTGCCGAGTACAAATATTGACCATACTAATGTCGTCTAAATGGATATAACGATAATTAATAAGAATATTGCAAGCTTAAAATGAGAGATCAATAATTCGACTTACAGCAGCCATGATGACACCAACAATTACTATTAGAAACATAAAAGCATCAATTAATATGAAACAAGGAACGAACAACAAAGATCAGGTAAACCTACTTACTAAATATGATAAAAAAGTACCAACTACCACTCGCATCACCAATTGAATAATATAAAAGTATTACAAAGTCTAAAATGCAAGCAGCCCATATGAAACAAACAATGTACATTCCCA